GTTGGAAGCCCGGGGGACGGCGAGGGCCCTCGCCGTCCCCCGGGCTTCCAACTTGGCCGAGGGGCGGCGGTTTCGCCTTCCATTGTTGAGGGGATGGAGCCTGCAGTGCCCAGGGCACAGCTGAGGTCTGTGTGCGTGAGGGATATAAAATGAGGTCTATGTGGGAACAATAATAAAAAAAACCACCCAAAAGACGTGTTTTGAGATTAATTTTTCCAGATATTTAAACAGCCTCGGGGGCTGAAAGGCAGCAGAAGGCTCCTCCAGATGGCTGGGGCTGCTGAGGAGAAGGCTCTCGCCCCATCGGTGGGGAGAGAAGCGGCTAAAAATTTAAAAAAAAAACCACCAAAAACCTGCACAAAATGCAAAACAACTCTCCTTTTTTTTTTTTTTTTTTTGTTCAGCTTTGCTGCTGAAGTCATCTCTGTCTTGGTTCCCCACCCAAACTTACTGGTTTCCGGGCTGGTTTGCTCACCTCTGAGCCCTTCTGCCCCGCCGTTTGAAGTCACAGAAGCACTGGGCTTCTATATGCAAAGATGTCTATATCTTAATTGCATTTTAAATTACTCCTAAAACTCAGGAGTTGTCTTGAAACCCTTAAAAGTTCCCTTTCACATCAGCAATGCTGCTTACAGGTGTAAAATTACTGGCACAACTGGCTTCATAAGTTTCGCGTAAGTTTCGCGAGAAAACCTTTTAATTCTGTGTACTCCTGGCTTTTAAAGAGCCCCTCAGGAGCTGTGATCACAAAGGAATAAGCAGGGCTGGGGCAAGGACAGGGTGAAGACACCACCTGCCTGGGGCCCTTTTCTGATGAAGCCACCAAAGAGGCTCCAGCCCTGCTGGTTGGTGCCACCACACCAGTATAGAAGCTACGTGTCCATCACAGAAAGGGAAGCAAGGCCCCTTGGGAGCCAGAGACGTTTTAGGAGAAAAAACTGCTTGAGGAACCAAACTATCCGGCCACAGGTTGTTTGATTTGGATAGGGAGAGGATGCAGAACGTGTTTTAACTTTGCAAATTTATACCCAGCACTGAGATGGCTCCACCTGACTGGACCACGCTATGGGAACCTGTAGGCACCGGCCAGTAATAATGGGATGAGGTGGTGCAGCATCTGTTATTTAGATATTGTAATACAAGACCTCTAACTAGCTGGTGGTTGTAGGAAATTAAAACTTACCTTGGGCACAGGAAGAATATATGCCTACATAAGAGTGGGCTATGAAGGTTGAAGCAATTGGCTTTCTCCAATTTGCATATTTCTTCAGTATCAAACTCTGGAATTAGTAGAGCTGTTCCTTGCATGTCTGTCCCCTCTACTTCCTTTTAGAAAAAAATTACAGCTGTATCATGTTTTAATAAACTTTTAACCTGAAAAGGCCAAGAAATTACAAACTTCAGGCGTGGTTTTGAAAGTGAGTATGTTGCTGCAATGAATCGGTGGATGGGGACTTCTGCTCTCTGGCCCAGACAACTGCTTAGCTGGAGATAGTGCTGGCAGAAGAACAATTGGGTTTGAACTGGCCACATACAAATTTAAGCTAGAAATTAGAGTAGGGTTGTTAACAATTAGAGTAATCAAATTCCACCTTTTCCAGGGGGAGTACTGGGCATGGAAAAATCTCACTGTTTTTGAGATTGAGTTTATTAAAGTCATTATACGATGCATTGTCTGCAAGAGGAGGGGACAGACTTGGTGTCTCTGGAGCTTGATTTGAGTGCTAAGGTGCTGTGTGACATTGATCACACACCTTGAGATTTGAATTTCAGAGCCAGCAGTTGTTTATCCCAGCAGAATGCTTTCAGGCATGTAAAGGTGCCTTTCATGTTTATTGTAGGGTGAGTTTTCTTCTCCTGGGCATATGAATGAGCTTTACTTTAGCCCTGAAAAGATTATGGAGATGACAAGTCCTCATGATTCAGGCCGTGCGTGGATTACAAGCAGGATCAAGAAGAAACTTTCCTGCATGGGAGACGCTTCTCCCATTAGTTCTGGAGGTTTTGTTCCCTCCTTCAAAGTGACTGCTGGGTCCTGCTGGAGGGCCACTGGCCTCGGCCAGTTCTAGTTGGACAGGTCTCCGTGCTGCAGCTCCTGTGCATGACACACCAATGGAGACCTCTGCCTGTGCCACCTGCCTGTGGGCTCCTTGGGGTCGCTGCGTAGACATCCTTCTGTGGAGTAGGAGAGGTAACATCTAGAGCAGGGAGGGCAGATAATAGCCAGGACTGTTCTTTTGGGGTCAGTCTGTAGCTTAGCATTTACAAAACCCAACCACTTCAGGAGTGGAACCAAACCCATGGTAAGCTTCCGCAGCACTGCATTTTTGGAGCGTGGATCCTCAGACGTACATGCCGCTCTGTTACTGCCTCTGGTCCTCACGGCGTTGCTCCCTGGCTGCCATGCAAACAAAAGCCTCTCTCTCTACATTTCCTGCTAAATACATCACCAAAAATCCACACACCAGGTACAGCATTTGCTTTTTGAGGACCCGATATGGCAGAAATACTTTGCCACTTCGCAGAGTACCGCAGCCTTTTCACCCTCCGTAAAGCCATGTGTCTAATCAGTGGACCTAGCTGAGCTACTCATTAGAAACTTGGCCAAACCACAAACATTTGTTTCCTTGCTTTATGCCAAACTCTGAGAAAGGAGGAGGGAGTGGCATGGAGCTCATGTTAATGAGTTCTTCATTCCCCACAGAGAGATAATCAGAGCACTGCTCAGAGATTCATCAACATTTTTTTATTAGCACTTTAATGACCTACATGTTGGGGGTTTTTTTAAGGAGTTACTTCAACGAAGAGCTAGATAATTCCTCATGCAGCTGTGGTTTAGGAAGCAGCTCAGGGGACGTGTATGCCAAATTACTTTAGCTCTAGTTAAAAAAAAAATAAATATATATATATACCACAAGGTTTCCTGGGTGCCTCCTTTTTCAATCAAGGGCATTATGTCCTCAATCTGGCTCTTCTGGGTTACGCTTGGGGGTTTTTGGTTTCTTTTTCAATCTTTGCAGCTTCGAGAGCCGTACAGCAAAACACCAGACCCTGGTGGTACTGCATGTTCCCCGCGGACAAAGGACCTGAACAGCTCCCTGACCCCGGTCACTCCGGGAATCAGGCTCCCTCGGGAGCCATGAAAGGCATTTCCAGGGACCAGCACTGATCCTACAGACCACTTCAGCTTCAGCTGGCTGTAGGAGGAACAAACTTTCTCGATGCTGAGGGCTGGAGCCTTCTCCATGCTGCTGCAGGGTGAACCTCCAACCACGGGACTCCACAGTGCCTGCTGAGGAACCTTCTATACGTTACGGTGAGAGCTGATGCTGAGCGAGTGCTCTCATGGGCTTGGTGGAAACTGCTCAGAAATTACCCAAAATTCAGTATTTACAGCTCTCCTCCCATGGTGGCAGTCACTAATGGCAGCTGCTCCAGAGTCCCTCTGGTTTAAAAGAAAGAGAGCTGCCAGAGTTTTGCTGTCACTTAGACAGGCCGTCGGCTGGAAAATGCTGCACGATTTCTTCCCATGCCTCCCCCGCTCCCCAGTGGCCAGATTTCCTTCTGGTCTTCTGGAAAGAGCAGTGAGAATATATACATTAAAGACAGGGATGTAGTCAAATACTGCAGGATAACCGGGGTTATGAGAGTATTATAAAGGAATACTAGTTACTTTTTCCTGAATCGGACCCCAAGTGTTTCCTGTCAGACCTCAGTACAATGGGACACAAATGTACGGTCCATTACGTTCACATTTCCTCCAAACAGCCCTCTCTTTCCTTCAAACGCAGAGGACAGGAAAGGATGCTTTCTGCCCCAACTCATGTCTCTCAACTGACTTTATCTCATTTGAAAAGGGATTTGAGACATCCAGCATTCGCTGCCTTCAGTAGTTCGCCTCCCTTCGAATGCCTACTGCCTCAGGATGGGAGAGGTTGTAAATATGGAGGAATTCCTTTGAAATCAGAAAGAGCTTCACTGGGGTGAATGGAAGCAAAATGAGGTCCATGGGGAATAAAACGCTAAGGCTGGGGAAAAAGAAAATAAAGATTCACAGCACTAGTCCAGAAGAATAGTAGCTCATATAATATAAAAAAACTCCATAGTTCTCATTTCCTCCTTATCCCTCCAGGACAGGAAAGAACATCCTGCTCTTCTAATATGAGCAAAATACAAGTTATTTTTGGAAGCAGAAACTCATGTTCAGAGCACATTTTTAAAAAGACATCTCTAATCTGTGATTCTGATGATGCATTTGAAGCACAGCACACCCTTTTGCATCAAGAAACCCACGTTTCTCGGCTCAGCCCCATCTACACTTGGGCAAAAGGTTTATGTTGGTTGAACAAGAAGTTGGGAATTCTTTGTCAGCACATTAATGGTGACTTGGAGCTGAACTGCCACCTCTGTCACCTGACCCACACCTGGTGGGAAGCCCAGTACAATTGCCTGGGGGAGAGGAGCGTGGAAGTACTAGCGAGTAAGGTCATGGGCTGGGGATGTGAGTGTTGATTTGGTAGCTCTGAAAAAGGCTTTCTGTGTCTATCCTGGACTCTGGGGTAAGCTTCCACTGTCTTCTTTGTTATCCCGAGACAAATTGGACACAGGACAAAGCTAGAGTCACCCCCCTGCCCTCAGGGGTGATGTATCTTTGCACGCTGTGCTTGTTGTTCTAGCTCTGGACCCACAGAGGAGCATGTGACGTAATTTCCTGGACAAAAGTTTTGAAGTTTAGAGCACAGAGTGAAATTCAGGGCCTTTTGGGCAAACTCTTGCTTTTTGTATTTGATGGATCACTTGGAAGGACAGCACAGAGATGAAATCAGCCTCAAATTTGTTAATATGCATAAACAATATTAATTCATGACTAATGTTTGGTTTTGGATTCTGCATAGGTAACTGTTACTCCCAGAGCCTCTTTTGAAGCAAGTGAGATCGAAGAACGTATGTTAGCGCAATCTCTAACGATAAGGATAAGCAAATTGTAGGGAAGTTAATCATTTACCAATTCAAGATTAACAAACGGCTAGCGCGCTATAAAAAGAGTTCCACTTTCCCTTTAAAAACCATTCATAGAGTCTAAGATTTTAGCTCCTCTCAGTGTCAAGGGCCCCAAATACCTAAGCAGACTCTTGGGAGTGACCTCATCTGTAGTTTCTGAGTGTATTCCCAGCGATGCGTAATGCGAGGAATGGCCGGATCGAAGGCTGGGGGGGGCAGGAGCTCGCTGCCCCAGCACGGCAGGGCTCCCCAAAGAGCTTTGCTGGGGCCAGCAGCACCCCCCCGGAGCTCCCTGCAGCCTGCAAGAGAGTGCAAGCCTCCTCCTGTAGCTCCAACCACCCAGAGCACGCTTCAAAAAATCCATCCAGAGATATTCCTACGGAGTCAGTGGATTATTCGCCTACTTAAAGCACCGATTTCCCTGGCGGGACAAACTGTGTTCAGTGGTTTTCATAGGAAAGGACGTGAGATTGGTTGTGCTGACTGTCTCGGTTTGTTCTCAGACAGGAAGCGGAGAAGGGCAGGGGGAGCGATGGTCGGGTCTGTGCAAACAGGCGCTGGAAACTGGAAACAAATCAGTCGCAGAGGTATGTGGACAGTGTGCGAGAGAAAAAAGCTTTGCTTGTCTTTGCCCGGCAAATCCCGGTAATTCTTCAGAATGTGTTTTAACCAGCTCCAAGTCTGTCTCTTTCCCTTGTTGATGACTTACCATAAATTGCAAAGTCAATGGTTTTAACTGGGGTATCTGAACTCTCTGGGACTCCACAGGGAAAAGATAAATGACTCTACACAGCAGACTTCAGTGCCACAGCCATTCGCTAAGGGAGATAAGGAAACTGTGGAGGAGTAAAAGCACAAATTCCTTTAAAAACAGTAATGTGTAACTCGACGTACCATCACTTACACACTAGAAAACCATACACAGATCCACTAAGTACAGTCCTGAATGTGTGTGTTACACAGCAGAAGAAGCAGCTAAAACTACTGCACAGAGAACAGACCTTGAATTGTCTAAAGATAAATGGTGAAAAGATATCAAACATAACAGAGTTCCCTAGGCTTCACCAGAGCCGGAGATACATCACTACAAATTGAGTCTCTGGCCCCCTGCAGCTCTGCAAATCATCAAAAAGGACATTAATGTCATTAGCAAAACCAACAAACGTGCCTACACTTATTACTTGTTTGTAATAAGATTTGGCTAGCGTATAATTAGCAGGCTGCAGAAGTCTTTTACAGCCTCTGAGAACAGTCTCTCTGCCGTGCTGAGGTTCACCGGAAAATTCCCGTTCTTTCCATGTAGCTACAACTTCCCCATCAGTTTCCACCCCCTCGGATGGACTGACATTAGCATATGCAACATGTCGTATAAATCCAAGTGAACTGTATATATACACATACACACGCATTAGTTTGGTTTGATTATTTGTTCTACAAGGACAGTCTTTGATCAGGAATGCTTGTTTCCCAAGAGGCAATAACACTCTTGTGCCGAGCAGACCAGTGAGTTATGGTGTGGATTTGTGGTACATACACACAGGATTACCCATTGGCTGGCTTGGACACATCTCGTTGTGTACGGTTGATTGAGCTGGTTCTCCCTCCTTCTGCTGGGATACTTTTTCTCAAGGCTTAAGCGTGGCTGTAGCGAGTTATTTAAACATGTGCCTAAGGAGATGCACAGCCCAAGAGAGACTGGAATTCCTTGTGTAGCTGCTGAAATGGGCAGCATTTGGATCCCAGTGTCGTGGAGTCCCCTTCTTTGGAGATTTTCAAGCCCCGCCTGGATGCAGTCCTGAGTAACATGCTCTGACAAGCTCTAGACAATCCTGCTTCAGCAGGGGAGTTGGACTAGATGATCTCTATGGTCCCTTCCAACTCTAAAAAAATGCAGTGAAATTCAGTGAGAAATGTGAACTGGGTGACAGCAAATGGCACCGAACAAGATAGCAATTTGTGCCACCATTCTGAAGAGAGCTGGGGGGGACTTCAGCGTTTAGTGTAGGCTTGGTTGGTGCTGGATGGGAAAATGGCACACAAACCTTCAGCCAACATCAAAGCAGATGAGAACGGCGGTGTTGGAGTTGGCACTCACTCAAGCCAAACTGCAGCTACGGATCCAGCATCCTGCCTGGCTTTTGGGTAGGAAACCAGCTCCAGACCTCGCAGCTCCGCTCCGTTTTTCTACAATCGGGGGTCTTTTCAAAGCTGTTGAACGTATACATGAGAACCGGCTGTTTCACTTCCTTTTCCAGCACCAGAGGTGTAAAGAGACCAGCACGCAGCCAAGAAACGGGGCTGGGAGTCAGCTGGGAGTTTCTGAGCATCTGACTGATGCCCTGACTTGGATGGAGCGCTCCGGCTGCCGGGGCTGGGGGTCAGCTCTCAGGGAAAGGGCTCAGTTAATGGTGTCGAGTACTGTGTCCAGTTTTGGGCCCCCTACCACAAGAGGGACATTGAGGTGCTGGAGCGGGTCCAGAGAAGGGCAACGAAGCTGCTGAGGGGTCTGGAGCACAAGTCTTATGAGGAGAGGCTGAGGGAGCTGGGGGTGTTCAGTCTGGGGAAGAGGAGACTGAGGGGAGACCTTATCGCTCTGTACAAATACCTGAAAGGAAGCTGTAGAGAGACGGGGGTCGGTCTCTTCTTCCAAGCTACAGACGATAGGACAAGGGGTAATGGCTTCAAGTTGCGCCAGGGGAAGTTCAGGTTGGATATTAGGAAACATTTCTTTACTGAAAGGGTTATCCAGCATTGGAATGGGCTGCCCAGGGAGGTGGTGGAGTCACCATCCCTGGAGGTATTTAAGAAACGTGTAGACATGGCTCTTCAGGGCATGCTCTAGTGCCCAAGATTATTGGTTTGTGGTGGGATGTTGTGTGGGTGGGTGATGGTTTTGGTTTGGTTGTTGTTGTTGCGTGTTTAGGGGGTGGGTGGTGGTTTGTGTGTTTTGTTTTTTTGTTTTGTTTTGTTTTTTGTTTTTTTTTTTGTTGTTTGTTTGTTTGTTTTTTTGTTTTTTTTTTGTTTTTCCAACCACTACGATTCTGTGATTCTGTGATTCTGTCCTGGGAAGCTCAGCTCAATGGCTTTGGAAAGCCATGGTGGGGGTACCTGTTTCACCATCCACATTCTGTCACTAGCACTGGTGCTGTGCTCCCCACGCTTTGAGAAAGCCCCTCCTGGTTCACAAAAGATGTCACTCAGCCCTTGTCCCTCTGCCCCGGGAGCAGGCGCTCGGGACGGGGACGTGCTGGAGCTGTGGGAGTGGCTCCTCCCTATCTCATGAGGGAACAATACGGTCCCTTCACTTGTGATGTCGTTATCAATGATTCCAAACGAGATAGCAAAAATACTTTCCATGCTCTGTAACTAACTTCCTAGCAGAGAGATCCAGCTGCAGATATGACACTCACGGTCTGGTGCTTTCCAGGATTATCAGTGTAATTTAGGACGATAACGGAAAGATAACACTGAGTGTTAAAAAAAACAAAAAACCAACCCAAAACAACAGACGTAGTAAAATGGGACTGTACTTATGTTGCTGCTGCACACGTTTTGTATGAACATGGGCAGGTCTTTGGGATGAAACATCAAATTTGCATCCCCATATTTGAGAGTCCAAGTTTTCAGGGGTCCTGATGGAATTCATATATTGTATTGCCTTTCACACCACAGTGCAGCAGGTGTTGCCATAATTCATAACCTCTCTTCCACTGCGGTGTTTATTTTCCCAATCCTTGACTGAAGTTTTCTGAGCCACTGATTTCTCCAGTTGGATCTGATGCTTCGTGCTTCTGTTTCGAAGCCCGCTAGCGGGCAGGCAACACCAGCCAGCTTTACTCGCAGAGTCCTGGTTTGTGGTGAACTTGCATTTCTTTCAAACAAAGTAAAACTGGTGATTCAAGACTAATGAGCTGCTGTGAATACTCTGCTTTATCAGAGGAAATAGTTGGAGGCTGAAGTCTTGGTCCCTAACAAGTCTTTGCGAGGATATTAACATGTCTTGCCAAGACCTAGTAATTCCCTTGCAGCCAATGCAACATTCCTCAGAGGCCATAAGGCAAGAAGTGGAGAAGGGGATCATGTGGCTCGGTCCAAGCTGAATTAGCTTCTTCAGAGAAACACCCCAAGCATGTGACTTCTTTGCAGACACAGATCTCAGGTAACAAAACCCACCAGCTTTTGGTGAATCCTTTCAAGATATCTATTGTCAAGATGTCCCATGTAAGAAAGAGGACTAGATTTTCAAAAAGGAAATTAAATACTGCCCATACTCTGCAATACCCTTCGGGAAAGAAGTAGCCTTGGTGTTTGGGGTTAAAAAAAAAAGGAATAAGGGAAGAGGATATTCCACAGCTGTGCCTGTATTTTGTTTGCCTGCTCTCCTGTGAGAAGAGTGTCAGGAGAAGAAAAACAGAGAAAAGCTAAACATATTCCCTGCATATATAACTGATTATGCAAAATACCGTCCTTCTGGGAGCTGCCTACAGGAGGTTAAACCTGGCTTTCAGAAGATGAACAGCAGGTTTTCAATTATGGCATTTGAGACCTCCGGAGTGGGGATTATGAGAAGATAGTGTAAATCAAACGGCCTTTTTAAGACGTGTTTTTAATTCAGCAACAGGACAAGCCCTCAGACTGGTGCTCCTGCAGGCACCCAGGGTATATACAGTGAAGGGCAGCACAAAGATCCCCCAAAGAGGCTCCAGGAGCCGTGGTGCATGGTTTGGGCTGGGGGGGAAGAGTGTCTTGGCTCCCGAGGTGTTACCATCCCTGTGTCCCTGCTAAAATGCCAGGCAGCTCATTAGTTGTGGAAGAAGTCTTGCTGCCTGCTAGCTTGGTTGCCCCTGTGCCACATGCCATTGCTGGGCTATTTCTCCAGCCTGAAGGGCAAGGGGAATTTTACCAGCAGCTCCAAGTGAAAAGAGGCCAGCGGGCAGTGCTTTGTGTCTCCTACGCCAAGGATCTTTACTTGGTTCACCACTCATTGTTCTGACAGTTGTCTCATTTATTCACTTTTTACATCAAAATCCATTCCTCTAAAGCTTACGTTCAGCCTTAAGCTTCACCATGTGCTAATAGCATTAATCATTCTGGAAATAGCTCTGTCTGCTCTGCTATCAGTAGCTATCTTGATGACACACTGTCCCGGCCCCACGTCGCTTCCCTGCTCTCTGGGGGTGGCTCTCGAGCCAGTAAATAGGTGCACAGCAGGGCAGGGGGGTAGGAGGCAGAAGGAGAGAGAAGAAAGCAGAGGAGGGTGCCCTTGGGTTGTGTCCCCATGTTTTGGAGCCTGTGCCAAGGTGCACTTAGCTGCAGCGTGATTCAGCAGTGGTTTCCTCTGGGGGGGGGTCTGAGCTTCCTTCTGCATCCCATCTGTCCTGGAGGAGACATCACACCACACGCTCGGGGTGGTAAAGATGGTCTAGAAACCTTCCAAGAAGGGTCCTACCGTCACAGGCGTCAAGGGCAGATGGGACCTGCAGAGAGGAGAGCCAGGTCTTGGAAATGCTCTGGGATCCTGCAGATCAAGTAGGTGTCGATGTTGCTGCGTGACCTGCCCATATGGTTCTGCCTTTTCCCTGGCCAGACCGTGTGTGTGCATCCCTTCAGAAAAAGGGAAGGATATTCTGGATGGCTTTGAAATCTCCTCTTGGATATATTAAGAAGAAACACCATGTGTGGAATCACCAGCAGGGAAATTCAACTAAGACTAAAAACTGTTTCCTTTTGCTTTTTTATTAAAAAAAAAAAAAAAAAAGCAACAACAACCTAGTGCCCAGTTCTCAGATTCTCATGTTTCTTTATCTAATGGACAGTCTTCAAATAAAAGCATCCTCTGGGGCAATGTCATGTTCCCTTCACAGTTGCCTGGACCAGGTTTTCTCTTCTTTCTGCTCATATAATGCCTCGTAGCTAGCTGTGGTGACTGTGGAAAAATGCCAGTAAGGTTGCAAGTAACACATTGCTACCTTCTTTGAATATAATTTAGCTGCTGAAAACCAAATGATGGTTACAAGCATATGACCAGTCACCTGCCTGCTTCCTGGCCCATGGCTTAAGAACTTCAAATTAGTACAAAACTATTCCACAGTTAATAAAAAACCTTACTTTTATGAAAGTCAATAGAGATAGCTCTGCCTGTGATTGCACACAAAAAATATTCCAGTACAGTTGGCAAATCACTTCCTATGATTTAGCTTCCCATTTTTAAATAGTACAAAGTACTTGCAGACCTGACAACTTTTCCACCATCCCCAGCAGGTGTCTGGGGAACAAACTCCACCATGGGGCACTTGGTGGTCTCAGGTGTACTACTGTATGCTGCTGCTCTACTGCAAGATGCACTTGCTGAAATAGTTCTTGAATAGGAAAACATGAGGTCATTTTTAGCTATTGATGGTCCAGGAAAATGTAAAATGCATGGGACATAAGTAGGAAGAGATCAGAATATTGCTATTGTTTAAGAAACATCACGTTTTTACTCACAAATCAATAGACAAGTCAACAAGTTCATCTGAGATCATTGTGTATCTTTTTGAGGCACTTCAGCAGTACTGGCATTTTAGTACCCTAGTATCCCATAGCACATGTCAAAATATTGTATTGGTAGTTGAAATTAACTTAATTACCTGACTTCTTCAGCATTGATCTTCTATTTTGACTCTGTGGTCCTTGGGGTAGTACTCTTCCTTCAACTCAGAGAGTACTGTCATCATTAGCAGTGAATCATAGTCAGGGGAGAATAATCAACTTGCAGCCTCATCTCTTTTCCAGCTAACATTTTGCCATGAAGTACGTTTTAAAAAGCTGGAAATGAACATAAAACTGAAAATTAACTGAGCTACTTTATGGTATTTACTACAGCAGCAACAATACCCTCCTCGCAGGACAAATTTACCGAGAAAATGATTTTTGCTGTCAACACCACTGGGAAAAAGCCAAAGTTCCCATTCAAGTTACATCAGTACTGCCCAAGTTAAACAAATGTAAAAAATGAGAATTTTGTGTTTTGTTTTGTTTTTTTTTTTAATCTCCTTCCAAAAATGTGGTGTGTTTCTTGCATTACAGGCTAAGACATCCGACCCAGCCACATTGCTTTCTAATCAAATGCATTCCTTTACCTGTTGCTTGACATTTACCCACTGCTCCTCCTCCAGATCCTCTCCTCCATCTCAGCGCTCCCCTTTCCCTTCTGCTGCTGCTGCTGCCGTGCCGTTTAAGTTAATGTTACTTCCCCAAAGTTCCCTTTTCACCAGACCGAGCCTGCTGGCACGAGCTGTCAGCAGTATTCATTTCTCTAGGCTCTTGCCTTATGTTGCATTGCCTTGGCAACAAGATTTAGCAGCGAGGCTACAGCCTTGAACTTGTCAGAGTCTGTTGCAACGCGCCGAGCATGTATTACTCTCCGGCACCTCGGGTTGCTATAACAACTACTAACAATAAAACTCATCTCCCAGCTTTAAAATACAGGAACTTTTACAGCCTGTTTCCTGGCAGAGCTGCAGCAATATTATGTGAATCCTGGCTGAGCTCGTTTTGTCTTTTTCTTCCTTTTTGCACGATGGCAGCCTCCAGGAGCCCGGCGCCGAGGCGCGGGAAGGAGCTCTGCCGTGGGCGAGCGTGGGCACTGCCGGTGCCGAGAGAGGGGCTGGTGAACAAAAGGCCAAGTGACCACGGGGACAATGCGGGGCACAGAGCCCCAGCAGCACACCCCAACGGCTCCGGGCTGCAGGCTGCGGGCAGTGATGCTCAGTGCCTGTCCACACCAGGTCTTCATAGAATCACAGAATGGTTAGAGTTGGAAGGGACCTTAAAGAACATCGAGTTCCAACCCCCTGCCCTGGGCAGGGACACCTCCCACCAGACCAGGTTGCTCCAAGCCCCATCCAGCCTGGCCTTGAACCCCTCCAGGGATGGGGCAGCCACAGCTTCTCTGGGCAACCTGGGCCAGGGTCTCACCACCCTCACAGGAAAGAACTTCTTCCTAATATCTAATCTAAATCTACTCTCTTCCAATTTAAAACTGTTAGCCCTTGTCCTGCCACTCCACTTCCTGACAAAGAGTCCCTCCCCAGCTCTCCTGTAGCTCCCTTCAGATATTGGAAGGCTGCTACAAGGTGTCCTTGGAGCCTTCTCTTCTCCAGGCTGAACAACCCCAGCTCTCTCAGCCTGTCTTCATAGCAAAGGTGCTCCATCCCTCTGATCATCTCCATGGCCCTCCTCTGGACCCATTCCAACAGGGTCATGTCCTTCCTGTGTTGAGGACTCCAGAGCTGGACATTGTGCTCCAGGTGGGGTCTCACCAGAGCAGAGCAGAGAGGCAGAATCACCTCCCTTGCCCTGCTGGCCTCACTTCTCCTGGTGCATCCCGGGATGTGGTTGGCTTTCTGGGCTGTGAGCGCACATTGCTGGCTCACGTTGAGCTTCTCACCCATGAGAATGATGGATGTGGCATTTTGATTTTTCGCCTGTTGCAGCAAAATACACCCTGTGCGGCCGGTTAACAGTATCCCCAGGACGAGACTGCAGCTGTCAGAGAGGCACTTGGGGTCTCTCTTGGCACAAGTGTTTTCCCCCACTCCTGCTGGCATTACTGACAAGAGTGAAGGTGCAGTGATAGCGGGAGAGACGGGCAAGGGACCGACGACTGTCCCCATGTCACCCAGCCCTGCTCAGCACAGGTTGTCACGACACAAATGTCACAAACTAGGTCTGAATCACTGGTATTAGGTATTAAAAAAAAAAAATATCTCTTAGCAGAGACAAGGCTTTCAGTGCCAGAGGAGCCCTTTAATTAACGAGGAACATTTTCAGTCAATGGAAACGCAGGGTGAGGATGTAAATTGAGCCAGCGCGGCGTCAGGAATGGTGGAAGTTTCCCAGCAGCTCGCCGGCTGCCCTGTCACACCTCCTTCCTGTGGCTTCATTCATGTGGACAGTGCAAAGCACTCATCCTTTTCCTGTATGTCATGGCCAGGAGTATCTCGTGCAGACCTAACATCATTCTCACTTTCCCGTAGCACGGGTCATATTTCTTCAAAGGGCCAGAATTCATAACCCGCCAGTCAAACAATGGGAAGGCTTGTTTAAGAATAACTCAGGATACAGCACGTTTCAAGCCTGGTGAGGGATGCAAACAGGAACAGGAAAGAAGCAGCAGATCTTTCCTCCTTTTTGAGTGAAGCTCAGCTCCTGCAGCCAGGAAGCACTGGAGGTGAAACCACGCTTGGGAAGGTGCAAGAAGAGGCAGAGCTCTGCCCGAGCAAAGGTCTGTTTGTTTAGACAGGTTTTCAAATGTGAAAATGGTGCTTTTCACTTCCCCCAGTTGCTGCCAACCCGAGGACAGTGGTCACAGGTGGCAGGAACGGTGGGTTTAAAGCAGGGGTAGCTTGGTGGAGATCTGGTCTCACACTGCTTCCCAGTGACTGTCACCCTGGGGGCCAGAAGCTGTGATTCCTCCAGACCCCGAGCACAGAGCGCTGCCCAGATCCCCACCTCTTTTAGAGATGACCCAACAGGACCCACATGGGCAATGATTTCCTGATGAGGGTAACACAATTAGTGCATGGCAGAAAAGTTGCAGGCAAGGAGCATCCCTGGGTAGGCACCATCTTCCTACAGGAACCCTTGCATTGCTGCATTTGCTTTTTCAGGCTCATGCTCTCTCCTGTGCAGAATTTTGAGTAAACACTTCCCCAACTGAGTTGCTAAGAGCCAAGAAGCCGACCTGACAGGGACGCCCAAGTCCCTGAACTTCTTTGGAGCTCCTCACATTTCATGTTTCATTTGGAAAAAAAATAAAAATCAGCTCAGTTTTTTTCTGACTCCCAGAATTTTGGTTTCACAGATAAAAGCAACTAATCAAAGACAAGTGTTTATTTTAAGGAAAATGGCTCATTTGAAAAGCCCAGGGCTCAGTTCTGCAGTTAGATCTCGGGGTGGCAGCGCCCAAAGACCTGAAATATCATAGATGGGGTCTCAGACACCTGGGGCAACCACATGGTGACTGTGGGGCTCGCTCCCATGAGGCCAGATATGGGACCTGGGCTACATTTTTAAGGTTTCCAGTTTCCACGTGGGACACATGTAGAATGTCTAATCCCAACTTTTTCCGCTTTGCCCCGTTATTGGAGACAGACAGTAACCCAATACTTTGTGTCTGGATTCCTGCACCCACTGGAGTAAACATCTGTTTCTGGTACTGTGATTCGTTTAATACATTGCACAGCACGGGACGTCAAATTGTTTCAACACGCTCAGGCCCAAGGGATTTTTGGGCAGGTGAGTGGGGCCTCGCTCGCAAAGGCGGTGACTTTGGGTGGGAGTTGGGGCTTGTAATACATGACCCTTATATATATATATATATATATATATTTACAAATAAATATCTTGCTTACTGCAAATGTTAATTAGAAACAAAATCCTTGTCTGGTCCCTCACTGGCCATCCCAGATGCATCTCGAAGGTGTGGTGATGCCAAATGAAATATGTGCCTGGTTGGGAACGGGCTTCCTAAGGAAACAAAGTTGGGCGTGTTGCCCATATCCGTTCGTCCATCACCACTTCCACAGAGGCTCCTGGGCCCCTGAAACAGCCCCAGCTGGACCCATAGTGGAGAGAGACTCGGGTTAGCCTTGCCCGGAGGAGAGGTGCTCCTGACCCAAGCCCTGGCAGGAGGTGGCAGGAGGGTTTCTACTTGCCCCCCCGAGGGGACAGAGAGAGGAGTGGGACCCGGCAGCGATTTGGAAAGGGGAGGCACTGGATCCAGGCCACGCATGTGAAGACACCTGGCTCCATTAGTTTTATCTCCGGAGCAGATAAGGAAACTTTGTGTAATAAAAACGCTTCTCAGGTGTCAGGCCAAAGCACAGGCAGGTCACTGCACCCTGTTACGGCTTGTGCTAGGGAAGCCTCTGAGGAAGAATGGCATCATATGAATGGAATAAAAGCCTGTGTTGTGCAAGAAGCATGATTTTCATATTTAAATATCCATAAATATATCCAATTCATCAGGTTATACTTCCTTAGCACGCGAATTTTTACGCAAGCTGAACGAATGATCTCCTAAAACACTTAACAGGGCACCAGTGACCCCCATGGTCTCTTTTGCATGCATGAGGGCTAGCTTTTCCCATATTTTTTCCTGCTAGAGCAGACAAGGAAAAATTAAGAAGTCTTGGAAATCGCCGTGAGGCTCATGTTTCACTTGCAAACAGGCGAGTGCAGGTGAGCAGGGATGTGTGTGCATTGTTTGGTGTGGAAACAGAGCCAGGCAGAGAACTCAGCAAACATTTCATTTTCATCTCTGTCGTTAAAGGTTTACAAGCAAAGTCCTAACATCTGGTATTTAACTGAAAAGAGCAGACGTGGAAACACTCGGATATCTACCTGGCCTGCTGCTGCCTCCCTTTCCTTTCCAAATGCAGCTGCTGGGAACCACCCAACCATGATCAACTTCCAGTGCTGGCTGGATAAATTGTCCTCCCAAGAAAAACTAAGATAAGATCCTTAGATATGCCTGTTCCTTCTCTCCCTGCTATCTTTTCCCCCAAACACACCATTTGTTGTTGCAGTTTCTAGTTTCAGTGTTTCCAAACATACAAAATTTATTTTAAATGTGATCCAACAGGACTTGTGCCACGTGTTTGAAACCTCAATTTAACTCAGAATTGAGAGCTTAAAATAAAAGCAATTTTCTGCTGAACTGTTCTCAGGCCCTTCCTTGCCTTGGCACGTTACAGCGCTGCTTTATATACCACCAGAACACTGGCATTAATTGTGGTTAGGCAATTTTTTTCAGGGTGGAAATAGGAAGAAAACCGGAATTAAAAGACTTTGCTCTCTCCTGCGTGGACACAGGCGTGCCTCCGGGCTGGGAGGATGTGACCTTGAGGAGCCAGCACAGAGGCATGACTGCCACCAAACTCACTGCAGGGCTTTGGGGAGTAAAACAACCTGCACGTGACAGGGCACAGGACATCCCCCGCGAAACACAAACACAAGGGGGTTGTTTATTGTCTGGGCGATCCCGGCGCTGCCACGTGGACGGAAAGGGCTGTTTGGCCGTGTGTGCAACCTTGTCAAAGCATGTTTTCCCTCTGCTCCAGGGAAAGCGATCCCCCTCCCTGCCTCTAACTCCCCACAGGTCTCCTAAGACGTCCCCTGGCTTGTAAGCGGTGCAGGGGCTGCTGTGGCAATGGGAGAGCCCTACAGTTTTGGCAGCCCTGGTCACATCCTT